GAGGCTGAGCGGGAGGACGCGGAGGCAGCATGTGGAAAGGGGGTAGTTGGAAATGAGGCCGAGACGAGCAGGGAGGCAGGTCTTGGAGGGTCGTGGAGAAACGGCGTGATCTGACCTAGCTTATGTACACCTGAAACTAACAGGATGTTGTATGTCAATTATTCTTCAATTAAAAAAAAAACAGGTTTCTCAACCTTGGCACTGTTGACATTCTGAGCCAGATCATTCTTCGTTGTGGGGGGCTGTCTTGTGCACTGCAGGGTGTTTGCAGCATCCCTGACCTCTACTGGCTAGATGCCAGGAGCACCCCCTTCCCCAGTGTGACAGCCAAAAATGTCTCCAAACATTGCCAAATGTCCTCTGGTGGGCAATAGCTCCTTCTATTGAAAACCAGTTTTCAGAGGATCACACCCCCCCAGTGTGATATTTTAGTTATATAAAAACTAACACAGGACAACTGAATTTTTCTTTTTTTGTATTCACATTTAGATATTTGCTAGAACTCTCTCAGTAGACTAAGATTCAACTTAAATGTGCCTACATTGCATACTTGTATTTAATAATCATATCCTAATGCAAAGGCCAAGACTTTCTCTTTGAGTCAGATTCCAGTGTGATTCATTTCTCCCGTACCTGTAAAAACAGCTCCAGGCAGGGGGCACAGAGAAATCCTGTTTACAGGCTAAAAGAAAACATCCCGGGTATTTGACTGAACTGGTGTTAGGAAGCACCCAACAAGAGGATGCCACTGAGCTGCACAAACCACTGATTTCACAAGATGCAGGATACAAAATGACTCCGACACACCTTGAATCGTCATACTGGATTTTACAGTACTCACTGCTCTGCTGGTTGCTTAGATTTGTTGCGAGTCTCAAATATTTCCTTTTGGTGTGACTGACTTTTCTTTGCCTTCAGAACCCTGATGGCCACTGCTTGGAGGCATGAACAGGCTTGATACTTTATTTGCTCTGAATAATTCCTTTTGAAATTCTCCATAAAGTATGCATCTTGCACATACACTTTTATAACTAAGGCATCTTCAGACTTAATGCCAGTGTCCTCTTGACTTGTTCTTGTAATTTCCTCAATACCTATGAACAGGGTAATGGGTGTATTTTTGACAACATTGCAACCATTTGTGCACTAAACTGACACTTTACAGCAAAATCAAATTATTGAGTTTTTACATTTAACTCTCATTGGGGCTGAATAGAGAAATTAACAAGTTGGGGCACAGACACTTTTACGTGTTTGCATTTAACTTGGAGGAAGGGCGTTTATGAGCAGAGGCTGACACAGCATTTAGTAAGCCAAGTAGCCGCCGGTTAATAGTTGTGAATAAGGATAACTCCAAACTGGGGACACCAATATTGATTTCACAACTCTGTTTCAGTGGCTAGAGTACAATTTTCAACCTGTGGTTCCCAGTTCATTACCACCGAGGCTCGGGTGATAAAATAGAGCCACAGAAAAAAAGCTGCCTTCTCCTTTATATCAGCAAGTGAAATAAGAAGGGAAGGCTACGTAGAGGGGCCAAGCGTAGGGGTGACTGTGGGTGGACAGTGGAGACCGGCTGAATCCAGGTGCAACACCACCTCATTGTGAAATGTTTGCACGTAGATTAACTTCACCAAGCCTCAATGACCTCGTCTCGAAAATAGGCGTAATCGTGACAACTATTCAGAATGTTATGAAAACAAGAGCTAAGACAACTCCCACATCTAGCCGGGTGTTAGCAAGTAATAAACACTGAGGAGGTGGTAATTATTGTAGGAGCAATGTGAATAATTATCATTAGGTTGGCCATTAATTCTTATGTCTTATGTTAAGAAGGTCTTGTTCCCTTATTCCAATCCAGAGCCATCCTTGAGTAGACATACGCTTTTAAGATAAAAACAGAGAGAAAATTTTAGTGGATAATGTAAGGATCACAGCCTTACTTCTATGACCAATTTAAAAACATTTCTTGGCTCTAATTTGTTGATTGGAAATATGAGAATATTTTATAAACTTTAACAGCAAAAATGGAGGTTTTGACTATAATTTAAATGCATCAATTGTTTAAGAGATAGAAATCAGTTATGAGGGAAGCTAGCTTCAAATATTCATACCAAGAGTCAACAAATGTCTCAGAGGGTTGAGTCTTGTAGCACCAGACAAAAGAGGACTGTCCCCGTATGCCCTGCTTCTCACACCTCCCATTGCGCTGAAAACAAAACACCACCTCCCCCTACGGTGGCCCCCCGGGCCCTGGGCCATATGCCCGCTCCCCTTTCTCACCTGCCCCCTGCTTCCGCATGCCTGACTTATTAGGATGCTCCTAACCAGCTCCTTGAAAAAGGCAAGCCCTTTCCTGCTTCAGGGTCTTCACCCATGTGGGGAGGTCTCTTTCTACACAGCCCCTTCTTTCCCTCTTTCTTCTCTGAGCCTAAATGCGACCCCCTAGAGATGTTTCCCTGACTCACACTGCCTGAAAACCTTGGCTGCCCAGCCCTGCTGCCCACCCAGCTGGGATTCCTCCTCTTCCAGTTATCCGCTTTTCATCTGTTGTCAATCATGTTCCCAAGAGGTCGGCTCCAAGCTGCCTGTCCGTTGTACTGATTATTACACCTCCCACACCTGGACAACGTCTGGCGCATAGTATGCACTCGATTAACAACTGAATTAAAGAATGAAAAAAATCTTAAAGAAATAAAAGCAGCTGACTGTGTCTTTAGACAGCTTTAAAATCAAACCTGTTTTTCTAATTTTCAGAAGATTAAAAAAGGCAAAATAGACTTGACCAAGGAGAACAGACATTCTTTCCATTCCAGGCTGTGGGCTAATTGCTCATTGTCAAGAGCCAAGGTGGTTAAGATCACTGACCTCGCTGTGGCCACTGTTCTTATGTATGCTGGCTTTGCCAAAGCCTCTTTGCTTGTTTTTTTTGTTTTTTTGTGAGGAAGATTAGCCCGGAGCTAACATCTGTTGCCAATCGTCCTCTTTTTGCTGAGGAAGACTGGCCCTGGGCTAACATCCGTGCCCATCTTCCTCTACTTTATATGGGACGCCGCCACAGCATGGCTTGATAAGCAGTGCATCTGCCTAGGCCGGGGATCCGAACCTGCGAACCCCGGGCCGCCGCAGCGGGTCATGCGAACCTAACTGCTACACCACCAGGCCGGCCCACTCTTTGCTTGTTTTTTAAGTGCAAGGAGTCAGGAGCTACAGTGGATACAACTAGAACATTTAAATAGAACTCTTCCACCTGGTTTTCAAAGCCCTGCTCATTTTGCCTTCATTCTAACTATCTAGCATCTTCTACTGCTAAACCTTATCACACCTTCCTGTCTGGGCAAACCCGGCTCCTCTCTATGATGTTCGTGCTTTGCTCGTAAATGAGTGGTCACTGCACTGCGGTGATTTGAACAAGATCCCCCACTGCGGGTAGGAAGAGGCAGGTTGATAAGAGAAGAGGACATTGCAGGCAGAGGGCATGCACATACCACGGCACTGGAGTCAATATGGAGCATCCAGATAAATACCCATGGCCTGTCGTGCTCTCTGAGTGTAAGTCTCAAGGGCAAGGAGTGAGAAAGTCCAGGAGGAAGTGTTAGAAAGGCTCACGTCAAGACCAGCCTTGGGAGACAAGCTCTGGAGGGCTGACTGGCCTTCTCTCTCCTTCCTCCCCTACTTGGAATCACAGATACACTGTTCTGCCACATGTAAAGTATAAGGAAACCAATTACGCCTATTATCTCTTTTGAATATTCGTTAGCCTAAAACTTCAAAAAGGCCTAACTTAACAACAGCCAGAATCCGCTCTGTACCAACAGACCAAGAGCAGAGCACCAGGCGTAGCCTTGACATAGAGCAAAATCCCCCAGTAGTTTAGAGCTGTTTTTGAGGTCCCTAGGGAAGCAAGAGCCAATGCTAGGTATGCCCAGCCAGACTGAGAGGGGGACCTGACTCAGGTAGAGGAGGAATGTGACTCAGATAGAGGGGGACCTGACTCAGGCAGAGAGGGAAGCCTGACTCAGGTGGAAGGGGAAGCTGACTCAGGTAGAGGAGGAATGTGACTCAGGTAGGGGGACCTGACTCAGGTAGGGGGGAACCTGACTCAGGTGGAGGGGGAACCAGACTCAGGTGGAGAAGGAGCCTGACTCAGGTGGAGGGGGAACCAGACTCAGGTGGAGGGGGAGCCTGACTCAAGTAGCGGGAGACGGGGGAAGGGGGTGGAGAGGGCCCTGCCTGACACTGGATGGACAGCTGTGCCTGCTTTGCACACTCTGGTCACTTGTAGACCCTGCCTGGGGGGATGCAGCGATTATGGAAAAATCTACCTCAGTTAGACATCGTTCCAAACCCAAGCATTCACTATATTTTACTTTATTACTACCACATAGTTTTAAAAAGTCTTCATTTTGCTCTTCAGGTTAATTTGGACAATGGCTTCTATGTTCGTATATCTCAAAGCACTCGATGTGGGACATGTAGTACACATTTTGGTAATTTTGTTAGTGTATAGAATGTGGAAGTAGAGTTTTGAAGTTTAGCATTCCTAAATAGAGAATACATTTTATACTAATGTTGGAAATATATTTCTTTTTTTTTCAAAGCTATAAGATTGCCTCAGCTCTGCTTAATTTAATAATTCAGAAAACTTCTGAAACATACTTATTGCCACACTTCTTTTAGGAAGTAGCCTTCTCAAGATGGACAGTACTATAATAGCAAGCTATTTGACCTGTGACATCAAAAATTTTGTATAGATATGTTTGAAAATAACAAATTATGAAATTGATTATCACCACTTAGTATTTTTTATTATGTTTAACAATTTTGTGGCAAAACTTGGTGAATATTTTGTAGGCCATAGATTTGATTAAGGATTATTATTATTTCAAATGTAATTAGTGTTTAATTTGATAAGTTGTGTTATTTCCTTCTAATATTTTATTCAACTTATTCAGTACATTTTATCAGAAAAGAATAATCTTTTCTAAAATTTATTTTAGGTTTTGAAACTAACATGAACCTAACTAGCCGAGATGATCCTGGTACATCAGAAATTGCATCAGAGACTCAAGATAGAAATGCAAATAACCATGGAATTCAATTATCTAATTCACTCTCTAGTGCCATCACTGCTGAAAATGGAAATTCCTTCTCAAATGGTAAGCACTTTTTAAACTCAGAAGTAAATAGACAGAAGTTTTAAGTTGTATCAACTTTCTAAGAGAGAAAGAATTTAAAACATAAAAATGAAGTAGGCTTAAAAACTGGAAAATAGAATATAAACTATGAAACTTCACTGTAGAGCACATTGTCAACATACTATTGGTTAAGTTAAAGAATTAAAATTGTGTTCGGTGTTAGCTGACTTTTTCTGAGGTATTTGGTCTAGTATAAAATGAGAACCAGTATAAAATGAGATTTATACTGAGTAGAAGGAGGAGATGGATACTCTAACAATATTTTTAATTTAAAAAAAATCTTTTTCTTCTCATACCTAAAAAATGTGAAGGAAAATAATATTGAAGGCATGGTAAGCACCAAACTGGTTTTAAGTATTTAATTTGAGTGTATCAATGAATGTATCATTTAGAAATTGGCTTGATCATGTGTCTCCAAAAACTAATAGTGGCTTACACAATTAGCTTACTTCTCTCACACATAAGAGAAGCCCAGAGTTTGTAGTAATGGCTGACAGGAAGATTCGGACCAATCTTCTTCAGAGAATATCCAGAAGAGCTGGACAAGACATTTCTTTTTGTTTGTTTAATCTGATTTAAAGCACTGGAAAACTATCAAAACCACGAAATACTGGGAAGGGACTGAAGGAGGGGTATGTTAGGCAATGGAGGTGAAGCAAGGAAGCCTATATTCTAGGCTTTTCTCTGATGGATGTTCAGGGCACTTGCCTAGTCCACAGAAGGCAGCTGAGAGGCCAGGCTGTGCTTCTGACGGCCTGCTAGGATTGTGGGGACAGAGTCTAGGGCTGCCAAGGCTGGAGGTGAGGCTTGACGTATCCATCCTCAGGGTCAGATGAAACAGAACCAGAAACCACAGCTCATCTGTGAATCATCTCACTCCCTGAAGTTGGACTGAGGTCCTCTAGGATAGACAGGCCCACAGGTACCTAGGAGAAGTATGTATATATGTTTATATAAATCTATCCTGAAGGACAATCACGGCATCCAAGGCTTCAAAATATTCTAAGAAACCATTTTGCAAATACAATGTTCAACACATAGTCCAAAAGAACCAGGCACATGAGAACACAAAATAAGATGAAAACTTACAAGCAGAAATAGCGGTCAATTGCAATATATCCATGGGAGCTCAAAAGATTGGCGTTCAAAAGCACGTACTTTTAAAGTATGTTTACTATGCCCAAGGAGATAAAAGAATGAGAATCTCAGCAGAAATGGGAAACCATAAAAACGTGTCAAATGGAAATTCTGAAATTGAAGAATACAGTCATAAAATTAAGTACAATAGAGGATGAGTTTAAATTTAATTAGACAGTCATTTAAAAAAAATGAGAAAAGTGAAAGATAAATCAGAAAATATCCAGGATGAGACACAAAGAAGCCAAAGAGAAGAATAGAAATTCCAGAAAATGCTTTAGATTCAGAAAGGATACAGTGAAAAGGGTTCTTAGAATCCTAGAGAAAGAAGAGAGACTAGATGAGCAAGAGAAAAGATTTGGTGAGAAATGTTAGAGAATTTTCCAATACTGATGCAAGCATCAAGAAACAGATTTCAGTTGGCGGTTTCTTATAAAGGTCAACATACACTTTCCGTATTACCCAGCAATCCCACTCCTAGCTATTTACCCAAGAGAAGTGAAAATGGTGTCCACACAAACAACTGTATGCAAATGCTTATGGTGCCTTTATTCATAATCACCTAAGACTGGAAATAATAAAGTGTCTTTCACCTGGCAAATGGGTTGTATTAGTTATCTACTGCTGTGTAACAATTACACCCAGAACTTAGAGACGGAATACTATACAACAAATGGCTATTAATTTGTAGTTTCTGTGGGTCAGAAATCTGGGGGTGGCTGAGCTGCGTGCCCTTTGGTTCAAGGTCCCTTATGAGGCAGCAGTCAACTGTTGGCCAAAACTATAGTCATCTTGACACTTGATGAAGACGGTCTATTTTCAGGACCACTCACGTGGCTTCTGGCAGCCTTCAGAAGATCCGCTTCCCAGCTCACTCACATGGGTTTCTCCATAAGGGTGGCCTCACAGTGGAACAGCTGGCTTCCCCCAGAGCAAGCAATCCACAAGAGAGCAAGGAGGAGCACTCACGATGGAAGTCACAATCTTTACACAGACCAGTCTCAGAAGAGACATCCAGCAATTCTGTCACATTCCATTTGTTGGAATCGAGTTATTCATCTGGTCCACTCGATGGGAGGGGATCACATGCAGTGAGTGCCTAGAGGTGGACTCATCAGGGGCCATTTTGCAGGCTGTCTAGCACATGGAAAAACTCTGCAATAAAAAATGATGAACTACAATTGCACATGACAAAATGGGTAAATCTCAAACACATCACACTAAGTGAAAAACGTTAGAATCAAAAGACTGTAGGTATGATTCCACTTATATGACATTTTAGAATAGGCAAAACTGTAGGGACAGACAGCAGATACGTGGTTGCCAGAGGCTGGCTACAGGGGCAGGGGATGGACTGTTGTCTTAGTCCGTTCGTGCTGCTGTACCAAGATGCCATAGACTGGGTGACTGATAAACAGCAGAAATTCATTGCTCACAGTTCTGGAGCCTGTAAGTTCAAGATCATGGTGCCAGCATGGTCAGGTTCTGGTGAGGGCTTTCTTCCTGATTGCAGACTGCTGACTACCAACTTCTCACTGTGTCCTCACATGGCAGAAGAGGCTCTCTGGGGTCTCTCTCATAAGGGCATGAATCCCATTCATGAGGGCGCAGCCCTCATGGCCTAATCTCCTCCTAAAGGTGCCACCTCCTAATACCATCACCTTGGGGATTAGGATTTCAACATATGAATTTTGGGGGGACACAAACATTCAGACTACAGTACACTGGAAAGGGGCATGTGGTACTATTGACAAACAGGAATACATGTGTCATGTGCTCCTGTAGATTCATAGGTGTGCACATTTAATAAGAGTGACTCTTTCTGTCTGTAAATGTGACTTTTGTGGAAAAAAAAAAAAAAACTGCAAAGGCTGAGTAGAATAAATAAAAAGAAAACCACTCCCAGGCATATCATAGTGAAACACTGGTAAAATAAAAACCAAGCGTGCATATTTAACATGCTCAACTAAAATAACTGCCACTTTAGAATTTTATAAACAATAAAAGGAAACTCCTGTAAGAATGAAGTGGGGGGCGGCCCATGGCATAGCAGTTAAGTGCGCACTTTGCTGCTGGGGGCCCGGGTTCGGATCCTGGGTGCTCCCCGATGCACTGCTTGTCAGGCCATGCTGTGGCAGCATCCCACATAAAGTGGAGGAAGATGGGCATGGATGTTAGCTCAGGGCCAGTTTTCCTCAGCAAAAAGAGGAGGATTGGCATGGATGTTAGCTCAGGGCTGATCTTCCTCACAAAAAAAAAAGAATGAAGGGGAGTTAGGGATATTTTTAGAAAAAATAAAAACTGAAAGAATTAAACATGGGCAGACCCAGAATGCTCAGAGATACAAGAAGGAATAAAGAACAATTTTTAAAAAGTAGTGAAGTCAGGAGAGGGCAAAAACGATATTTGATATTATACACTGATAAATCAAACCAGCAGGTTATAATTTCAAAGGTAACCACTGAAAGAATAGTAGTGGGGTGTATAATATCCAAACTAATAGAAACAGTAGAATAAAATAATGAGTCAATCAACCCAAAAGATGGCAAAAAAGGAAAAAAATAGGACTGTCTGAAAGGTAAGACAAATAGAAAGGTCTTAGATGGTAGATGTAAAAGCATACATGAAAATAATTAAACTTAATTGAATTACATTAAACTTTAAAAGACTCTCATCTAGTGTAAGTTCACATTAAAGATAAATTGATTAACACAATATTTTAAAGCCTAATCTTTCTAAAGAACAAGTAAACCATGAGGATACTGAAAGTTTGAATATAAAGGAATAGAAAAGGAAAAGATATAGCATGCAAGTATTTAAAAACAACAACAATTCTCATCTATTTGGAAGATAAAAATGACATCTCTAAGTCATCAATAGTTGCATGAAGAAATCACAAAAAAAACTTTTTAATGTCAATCAAAATATGATAGAACTATGGGAAACTGCTTATATATTAAATCATGGAGATTTATACCTTTAAATATACTATTTCAAAAGAAGAAAGGCTAAAAATTGGTGCTAAAAGTGTCGACAAATTAGAAACAGAACCACAAATTGAACACCAAGAAAATAGAAGGAAAGATGAAATAAAAATAAGAACGTGAGTAATTAAAATATAAAACAAGCAACAAAGCCAAAAGTTGGTTCTTTGAAAAACTTCATCTTTGAGTCATTAATAAATTGATAATTCTCTTGCAAAGTTGATAGAGAAATAAAAAAAGTGTACACAAATAACCAATTTTAGGGATGGAAAAGGGGATCCACCACAGACCTTGCAGAAATTAAAAAATAATGAGTATATTATGAACAGTTTTATGCCAAAATAAATTTGTAAATCTAGATGAACAGACACATTTCTCAAAAAAAAAAAAAAAACACCACTAACAAAAGTGGAGAAAAGAAATAGGAAAGCTAAATAGTAACATAAATATTAAGTTATTTTAAATTGTAATTGAATACTTTCCTACAAGGAAAACTCTATGCCCAAATGGCTTACTGGTAAGTTTTCTCAAAATTCTAAGGATGAAATAATGCCCATGTTACATGAAGTCTTCCAGAGAATAGAAATGAAAAAAAAAGGAGAAAAAAAGAACTAAAACTCTCCCAGCTTGCATAAATAGCCACTTACTCTATGACAACATTGGCATTGTAGGGCACTGGGGGAAGGGTAATTGATTGCTATCTAAGTGAGTAAAAAATGAAACTACCTTATGTTTTACACTCAAAACAATTCCTGGTAGATTATAGATCTAAATGTCAAAAGTAAAGTAATAAAATTTATAGAAGAAAACACAGGAGAATGTCTTTTTTACCTCAGAGGT